GATTTTTGCCCCAGCATTCACATAAGGGAAAAACGTATTCTTTCCAGATCTGTTCCACCTCCTGCTTCCTTCCTTGCTGCTTCAGCCACTGTGTAAGCAATACAGAGGTAAGGGGGTCTGTGGTGGGGACCCTAATGTAAATGGTACTCTGATGGGGAACTTGATCTAAGTGGGGTTCTGATGGGGATTCTGAAGTAAAGGTAGACTCTTTGATGGAGACCCTGGTGTAAGGGGGATTCTGATGGGGAACGTGATGTAAGTGGGGCTCGTATGGGGCTTCTAATGTAAGGGGAGACTCTGATGGTGGCCCTCAAGTAAAGGGGGATTGGGAAACTGATGAAATGGGGGACTCTGATGGGGCCCTGATTTAAGGGGCTGCTCCCTGATGAGGCCAGAGTAGAGCTCACATCAGGATGAGCAGTGGAGCCCAAACTAACTGTGATCTTAGTGCTGGGAGACAGCACAAGGCACAGTGAGTTTTATTGCTTTTATGTATGTTTTTAATTTGTAAAAAAGTGTTACATGAAAGTTTTATTTGCTTTTATTCCCATGCTGGCATCCATGTGAGAATAAAAGAAGGAGAGTTATGGTGATTGGCGGACTGGTCCGGCTGATGAGTAAAGAACAGTAGTGGTAGAACCTCTTAGGAGAGATAAGCTGTGCAGACCCTGCAGAGTAAGAGGATTGAGGCAGTGCTGTTGAATAAGCAAGGTGGAGGAATGGTGGAATCCTTTGATGTTCCTAAAAATGTTTTGACCCTAAACAGCAGTGGGTCTATATATTTAGTGAGTGGTTTGTTAAGGTGGCTGCATTTGATCATTGAAGGCCTAAAGTGGAAAGTACAACAGTGGTTGTAAAGCACATGGGACACTAAGGCACTTTTTCTTGCATAAGACACTTTTTTGGGGACTTTCAGTTTTTTTTTTTTTTAACTTTTTATACTGGTTTAATGTTTTATATATAATCATGTGATTTTATGTATAAACTAAGGGTATTTTTATTTATAGTATCGAGCACATAATTAACACTTTATATGTAACTCCTTATACATATATACAGTGGGTAAAATAAGTATTGACCACATCACAATATTTCTAAAGGTGCTATGAGCATGACATTTTCACCATATGTCAGTAACAACCCAAGTTATGTGTGATACAATGGAATGACAAAGGGAAACAGTTTTGAACACATAAAGAAAGGGAGGTGCAAAATTGCATGGAAAGCCAAGACTCCAGGTGGAATCTATCAGTAATAAGAAAGCAATCCTGCCACTTGTCAGTACAAATTATCAGCTGGTTCAGTCTCAACTGATGGCCTATAAAAAGGTGTCTCATTACCAAGGTGTCACACTCATGATGGATAAAAGCAAAGAGCTCTCTCAAGACCTTTGCAACCTTATTGTTGCAAAACATAGTGATGGCATTGGTTACAGAAGGATTTCTAAACTTCTGAATGTTCCAGTGAGCACCGTTGGGGACATAATCCAGAAGTGGAAAGAACATAATTTCAGCATAAACCAGCCACTACCAGACAGAAGAGTGAAAAGAATTATCAGAAGAGTTGTCCAAGAGCCAAGGACCACTTGGTGAGAAAAAGCATGTTGAAGCTCATTTAAAGTTTGCTGTACAACATTTGGACAAGCTTGTGAGATACTGGGAGAATATAGTCTGCTCAGATGAGACCAAAATTTTACTCTGTGGATGCCATAATACACAGCATGTTTGGAGGTCAAATGGCACTGCATATCACCCCAAAAACACCATACCAACAGTGAAGCATGGAGGTGGGAACATCATGGTGTGGGGCTGTTTTTCAGTATATTGTACTGGAAACCATCATATCACTGAAGAAATAATGAATGAATGTAAAAATGTACCAATATATTCTTGATATAAATCTGCCATCTACCAGGAGGATGAAGATGAAACATGGGTGGACAATTCAGCAAGACAATGATCCCAAACACAAAGCCAAGGAAACTCAATTGGTTTAAAAAAAGAAAATAAAGCTGCTAGAATGGCCCAGCCAATCACCTGACTTGAATACAATAGAGATCTATGGAAAGAACTAAAAGATCAAAGTTCATAGAAGAGACCCACAGATCTTTCAAGATTTAAAGTGTGTAAGAATGGGCCAAAATTACACCCGAGCAAAGCATGCAACTAGTTTCTCCATACAGGAGGTGTCTTGAAGCAGTCATTACCAACAAAGGATTTTGTACAAAGTATGAAATAAACTTCAGTTAGTGTGTTAAGTACTTTTTCCCTGTGTCATTCCATTTTATTACATGGAATTTAATTTCTGAACATATTTGTTTTGGTCTCTTTGTTTGTATGGATTGCAGGGGTTGTTACCGACATGTGCTGAAAATGTCATGCCAATAGCACCTTTAGAAGTATGTTTACTGAGAAAAATGTTGACATGTTTAATACTTATATTATATTATATATTTATATATATATACACACACACACATACACAATAGTATTGGGACACCTGCCTTTACACTCAAAGGAACTTTATTGGCATCCCAGTCTTAGTTCGTAGGGTTCAACATTGAATTGGCCCACCATCTGCAGTTTAGGAGAGTGTCTATGGGAATGTCTGGCCATTCTTCCAGAAGTGTATTTGTGAGGTCAGGCACTGATGTTGTACAAGAAGGTCTGGCTCGCAGTCTCCGCTCTAATTCATCCCAATGGTATTCTATTGGGTTGAGGTCAGGACTCTGTGCAGGCCAGTCAAGTTCCTCCAACCTAAACTCGCTCATCTATGTCTTTATGGACCTTGCTTTGTGCACAGTCATGTAGTAACAGGAAGGTGCCATCCCCAAACTGTTCCCACAAAATGTCTTGGTATGCTGACGCCTTAAGAGTCCCCTTCACAGGAACTAAGAGGCCAAGCCCAACTCCTGAAAAACAGCCCCACACCACAATCCCCCCTTCACCAAACTGTAAACTTGGCACAATACAGTCAGGCAAGTACCATTCTCCTGGCAACCACTAAACCCAGACTTGTCCATCAGATTGGCAGACCAGAGTCCAGTGGCAACATATTTTACACCACTGCATCTGACACTTTGCATTGTACTTGGTGATGTAAGGCTTGGATGCAGCTGCTCGGTGATGGAAACCCATTCCATGAAGATCTCTACGCACGGTTGTTGTGTTAATCTGAAGGACACACAAAGTTTGGAGGTCTTTAGCTATTGACAGTTGGCGACTTATTGCTGTTGTTCCCAGTTGCTTCCACTTTATTATAATACCACTAACAGCTGACTGTGGAATATTTAGTAGCAAGGAAATTTCCCAGATGGACTTCTTGCACATGTGGCAACCTATCATGGTACCACGCTTGAATTCACTGAGCTTCTGAAAGCGACCCATTCTTTCACAAATGTTTGTAGAAACCGTCTGCATGCCGAGGAGCTTGATTTTATACACCTGTGGCCATGGTGATTGGAACACCTAAATCCAATAATGATTTGGAGGAGTGTCCCAATACTTTTGCCAATATAGTGTGTAGATTATATATATATATATATATATCTTAAAAGGGGGTACTAGAAATGGGGACTCTGATGTAGGGGGAATCTTTTATGTTGATTATATAATGATCCAAGTAAAATGTATTAATTCATTTAAAGAATGTTACCCCAACATTTCATATTCCTTATATATGGTGGTTGTACCAGATACTTACGTTAAAATGCACCCTATTCTCTTTGTATTGCTTCCTTTGTGTGAAAATACCTGGTGTTCCTGCCAGACCCTCTGCGTTACTTTTGAAAGTGGCCACACTGGGCATTGGAGAACATCCTTCCCAGTGTGGTCAGTTTTCTGGCTGTGCTGGGTGCACTTTCTGCCTGTCCTCCAATGGCCAAGACTTGCGCTTGCACTTCCCCCTGTACAGCCATTCACTGGGAAGATCAGTGTACTACTGTTTTTTCCACCGCTACCTATAAGCCCCAATGCAGGTACTGTATTTATAGTGTGTTTAATATATATTGTATAAACAAATATGTTACATTTCAGTTTTGAACTGAATGGGTTGTTTTACAAGGAAAGGGTTCACATACTTTAAATTTAGTTTTTATTCATTTATAAAACTGATTTTTCACAAAAAAAGGCTTAATCAATCATGTATATATAGGGGTAGGTGTGTACATATAGCTCTGACCATATGTCCAATGTTTGTGTAGAAAAAAAAATGAAAGAGATTGCGTATTGTGGAAATTATAGATTGGAGCAGGGTTTGCCACAAAAAAAAGAAAAAAAAAAAAAAAGTAATACCTAGGTTAATCAGCCAACATCATTCATGAGTCCCTGGGTAGATAGTAAGTAAAAAATATGTACGATCAATGGATGAAATAACAGCACAATTACATATTGACACTGAGACATGTCATAATATCTATAATGATTTTTTGACTTAGGTTTGACAAAGGACTAATGCAACATATTAGTTACATTTATATTATTTAACCACTTCAGCTTTAGCACCCCTTATGGACCAGATCACATTTTAAATTTATACTATAGCCTAGTTATTTGGCAACAAATTTGTCACAAAAATAAAATGACAGAAGTTATACATACAGTATTGTTTTTTTTGGCAAATCAAACCTTTTTTTAAATTTCAATATTACCTTGAATTTTTTTTTTTAAAAAGCAAATAGAGACATAGCAAACAAAAAAAAATTTGTTTTTCTTCTTTGACCTGTGTTAATATTAAAACATGCATTGTTATTGTATGCTGTACATAAAATGATGTTTATAATGATATTAAAATTACATTTTGGTACATGGCTTGTCAAAGTTATTTGTAAAGACAATAATGGTGCTTTATTTTCAATTTTGCACATTTATTAATGAAACACCTAAAAAATAATGAACACAAAATGAAAATGAAACATTTTTAAAACAGATAGAAATAATAAACAGAAAAATAGTAGCAAGGGAGGGGTTTTAACTAGCTTGTTGTACATATTATCTTTATATTTATTATTGTAATGCACACATTTTCTATGGTAGCTTTAAATGTTCTATTAATATATTGTCAAAGCATTTTTGAAGCCATCACTGTGTTAATGGAGCAATAATTTCTCAAGGATACCACCTTGAATAATGTACTATAATTTTAGTAGCGCATCCTTGAAGCTACTACCAGGGGCGGACTGACCATTTGGAAACTCGGGCACTGCCCGAGGTCAGTAGGGGGCCCCATGAGATTCCCCTGGTGCCTTTTTCATAGGCTTTTTTGAGTTTGGGCAAGGACACAGGGGCCCCATGATCCCCTATTGCCGGGGGGCCCCATGAGTTGTCAGTCTGCCCCTGGCTACTACCCTAGATATTTTATTGAGAGACTTTAATTTGACTTTGTTGAAAGTGGTTCTAAAGCCTTAAGGTTTTTTCACCTTATTGCATCCTATACATTAAGGTAAAAACAAAAAACCATTCTATGCTGCAGGATTCCCCAAGCTCCCTCCCTCTTATTCTTACCCGAGTCTGATCTGATCCAACAATGTGCTTGACAGCAGAGGCTCTTGTCGCTATCTCCCTCCTCACTGGGCAGATTGATAGCAGCAGGAGCTATTGGCTCCCGCTGCTATCAAATGCCATGACGAGGGAAAAGGAGGAAAGGCTGAGCTGCCTACTCTGTCAATAGACAGGGCAGCTCAGGAGGGAGCCCACATTGTGCCCTCACCGAAAGCGGCTTTTCAGGGGTGCACTCTGAAAAGGAGGAACCTAGAGCACCATCAAAGGACCCCAGAAAAGGAGGATTGGGACTGCTCTGTGCAAAACCTTTGCACAGAGCAGGTAAGTATACAATGTTTGTTATTTTAATAAAAAAAAAAAAATATGAAGGTTTAATTTTACTTTAAACTTTAAAGTGTTTGTTAAATATACAAGAATGACTATGGTTGCAAAAAAAAGTCCATTCCCTTATATATTTCAACATGTAATGATAGTATTCATCATGTGAATTAATTTTTATGTCAAATTCCTCTTTTAGATCTTCAACATTTACATGAAGATAAGGCTGTCTAGTAAAAATGATAGTGGCCGGGACAAACTATAACACTTGCAGGGGTAGTTTATGGTTTCATCCCATGGCTGTATTTGATCAAACACATCTACAAATGTAATTTATCTCAACACCTCTTATTGTCATTTTTGATGGACAGCTTAGTCTGAAGCCTCTATTGTGCATCATACTGGCTTATTGTGTGCTGTTTTATTGTGTAACACTAGTCCATTGACGTCATTGTTTCCATTCACTGACCTGAGACTGCTTTATGTAGCTTGGAATAACTGGCTCAGTAATATAAGGCTGTATCTCAGCTATAAACCAGCAGTTCAACCCACTATCCTAAAAAGGGGAATAAACTCCTTTAGATTTGTGGTGCAAGTAAAGCATACAGATACCTTCTGCATTAAGAAGGCTCTATACTTTAGCTGTGCATAAAGAGCTTGATTCCTTGCACCCCTTGCTTGCTAGGCTTCATGTACACAAGACTACCCTGACAGCTATCTGTGGGAAAATGCTATTCACGGCAAAAACGTGGTACTGTGATTGCCGCATTTTGCGTTTTCCCACAGTCGGTCAAAATGTTCCTATCCTGAACGTAATTGTTTGAGAGGGAAGTTTAACCTCACCTAAATGCAGCATCTCCTAAACTCTGCTAAAAGGGAAAGAGATACAGCGCCTCTAAGTGTGTACTGTGAAGGTATTTAATAGAAGGATAAGTAGTAACTCACATCTTAGAATTTAAAAACAGGCTCATAGGTAAGAGGGTGAGACGTCTGTAGCCAGATGTGTGTCAGATCCAGAGAGGAGATCGATTGAGTCCGTCAGCAGGAGGTGCTGTGCATGTGCAACATGGATGGTATGCCTGGTGGAATCTTGATCTCCTCTCTGGACCAGGCTTGCTATCTATGTTGCACATGCACAGCACCACCTGCTGACAGACTCATTCGATCTCCTCTCTGGATCAGACAACATCTGGCTACAGACGTTTCACCCTCTTAACCATGAGCCTGTTTTTAAATTCTAAGATGTGAGTTACTACTTATCCTTCTATTAAATACCTTCACAGTACACACTTAGAGGCGCTGTGTTTCTTTGTTTCCCTTCTGCAGAGTTATGCTTTGTTCCTACACAGCTTGCCCTTAGTGCCTACTGGACTACCTTCACTCCTGCCCATTTGGAACTCAAACATACATGGACTGCCACACCATGCGCTTGTTATCCCTTTTGTATAAACTCTGCTAAAAGCCTATATGTACATGGACACAGGCTTTTATGAAGTTGAATTTAGGAGCTTTGGCAAAAAAAATGCCAAAAGCTCTTAAACTTGCTCGTGCAAATGAAGCCGGGTTTTCATCAGATAAAACAGGCTGTAGATAACTCGTAGTGCTCTGAGAACACTTTGTCATGTATTCAATGTTTATTTGTAAACCAAAAGGTTGTGTATAGATAGTGAACCAATTGAAGATAAAACAACAGTTTAAAAATGTATAAATATAAAAAAAAAAAAAAAATCATTAAAAAAGTAACCAAAACCATTATAGTTTCACTTTTTAGGTGTATTTCTGGGTAAATTATAAGAGGAAGAAGTGAACTTCTGTTTGAGCTGAAAACAGAAAGGGGGGAGGTTTACTAAAACTGGAGAGTGCAAAATCTGGTGCAGCTCTGCATAGAAACCAATCAACTTCCAGGTTTTATTGTCAAAGCTTAATTGGACAAGTCGAAGTTAGAAGCTGATTGGCTACCATGCACAGCTGTACCAGTTTTAGTAAGTCTCCCCAGAGCTTCCACTGCACTAAAATAACAAGCAGTGTTGTCAGCCCTGTGAAGTTTTTTTGACTCTCCACATCTCTCCCATGACATAAGAGGAAGGTGTTCAATAATCAAGCAGGGGAGAACAGTGTAGGGCTGACAACATTACATGGGGTTTTAGGGAACATTGTTATGTCACTAGATGAAGTTATAAGCACACTGGATTTCTGCCAGAATGAACAATATTTTTCTATACTTGCAGAAATTTTAAAGGGGGTAAATGATGGGGAAATATGCATCTATTGCAAATTTGTACTGCAATTTTATTTATTCTTTTGATATACACTGTAAAATATACAGCACCAAAGAATGTTTTCTTAGATACATACTGTAAGCAGGGGCAGACTGACAACTCATGGGGCCCCCGGGCAATAGGGGATCATGGGGGCCCCTGTGTCCTTGCCCCAAAAAAAAAAAAAAGTACCAGGGGCATCTCATGGGGCCCCCTACTGACCTCAGGCCCTCGGGCAGTGCGAGTTTCCAAATGGTCAGTCCGCCCCTGACTGTAAGATATACTGTGTAGCATCAGAAAGAGAACTATAGTCACATAATTAACAGAACACAAGGAGAACCCATTGGTGGGTAGTCATGTCTGCAATTATTACAATACTGCAGGCAGAATTACAGGTTTCAATAATGATGGAAAAAGGTTTAAAGCTTTCAGAAATTGTAGAAAAAAAAATAAGCTTTTTTTCTGGAAATGTAGTCAAAGCCAGACTTGCACTTGAAAAGCATGGTGTCTACAAGGCATTGGCAGATGTAAATATGTGAATAAATTATTGCAAACATATCCTACAAAGCATGAGACTTCAAAAAGGTAGCAAGGGTCAAGGGTTACAAGTACAAAACCAGAATAATCCCTTAAAATCTACAATGTACTATTCCAATTCACATTAAAACACACAGAAATCCACAAGAATGCACATGTTTGCCCAGAGGTACTATCAGAATGCTGAAGAAGGCTCCTTGTCCCATCTTTTTATTGGGTGGGGCATGCTACAGATTCTTCCAGGCCATACAATTATACATCCATTGGCTGGATTTCTGTGTCTACACCACTAAACTGATAGTGCCCTCTTACCTTTGGATCATCTTGTCCATATTATCTTGATTCACCAGTTGCTGATTCTGGCAACTGAATGATTAAAAATACCATGTGATGGGCTATTGACATTTTGTTCTTTGGCTTCTTTCTTTTGAGTACTACTGTAGAGATCTTCAGATCCAATGCTACCCCTCTCCCTTTGTTTGGGGTAAGATTTGACTGGGTGCCTGACTGGTTGCATACAAAATCAATAAACATTACCCTATTTTTTTCTCCTGATGAATTTGATTTCAATATCTGGCAAATTCATTGAGTATTGGTTTCATCCCTCCGCAAGTACTGGTTGGAGCATTGAAAGATAACAGAATATTTTATTAAATAGTATGTAGATGAGCCAAACAAGAGGTTTTGAGACTGTAGGAAGATATTGTTTTCAAGAGATTTGTAAATGTGAATTTTTGAAGTGTGTTTTATTAATGTTTTAAAGTGGTTCTCAAGACAGAAAATGTTTTCCTTAATGCATTCTCTGCATTAAGGTAAAAATCCTTCTACATGCAACTTCCCTCGCCAGCCTCCCCTTATATTAACATGAGCCCACACTCAATCCAGCAATGTGCCCCAAGAGCAGAGGCTCTCTTGTCTCTCTGCCTCCACAATGGCTCAGACACAGCAGTAGGAGTCATTGCCTTCCACTGTTGTCAATTACAACCAAGTGAGGAGGGAGCAGGAGTGGGACCGAGCCCCTCTGTGTCTTATGGACACTTGACAGGGGGAAGGGTCAGGAGTGCCTCAGGGGACCCAAGAAGAGGAGAATCAAGGCTGCTCTGTTCAAAACTATTGCACAGTAAAAGTAAATGACATGTTTGTAGAGGTTTACATTTTATTTAAAAAAAAAAAAATTACAATTACTTTAACTGGTTGCTGCCCAACCACGTACATTTACTGAGGCAGGGCAGCATGGGCAAGCTGGATCATGTACATCACTCAGCCAAGGGCACGCAGCACTCCGCTCCCTCAAAAGCCTTTGAAATCTCCAAGAGGGCTTCTTATGTGTTTTGCACTGAGGAGAGGCTTCTGTCTAGCCACTCTGCCATAAAGTCCAGATTGGTGGAGAGCTGCAGTGATGGTTGTCATTCTGGAACTTTGTCTTATCTCAGCACAGGATCTCTGGAGCTCAGTCAGAGTGACCAACAGGTTTTTGGTCACCACTTTTACTAAGGCCCTTATCCCCCAATTGCTCAGTCTGGCTGGGTGGCCAGCTCTTGGAAATGTCCTGGTTGTTCCAGACTTCTTCCATTTGAGATTTATGGAGTCCACCATGCTCTTGGGAACCTTAAGTGCAGCAGAACTTTTTTCGTAGCCTTTCCCAGATCTCTGCCTTGCAATATGCCTGTCTGTCTGCAGGCAGTTCCTTTGACCTCATCACTTTTGCTCTGATACAGTATGCATTGTC